GTGGAGAACAATACTTAGGCAGCAAGCTCCTAGATAATCCTGTAGCGCGCTGCATCTCTAACTCTATCATTGGTAGGAATACATGGTATTTACCTAGTAGGGTGAAGGAGAATAGAAAATTGTGTAAGTTTTCAAAGTTCAAAAACAACAACCATCTGGAGTTTAAAGCTTTGGGAGTAATTGAAATTCTCTATTGTGACTAAGATCTAAGTCTGGTTGAACCGAATACTAACTTTGACACTACAAATTTGAGAAGAATCTTGATGAGAGAATTTTAATTTTATCACTCCTTACATTTGAACAACCCGCATTGGCAGGAAATTTTAGGATCACCGCCAGGCTCGTTTGCTACCTGTTTCCAGGAAGGTAGCACAGTCCTTTTATACCCCTGATACGCCGTCCTTAAACATAGAAGCGGTTCTGTAGAGGCAAGACAACAAATGTGATAAGGCTCACTGAGGCATTTTGCGAAAAGTGGCTGTGTTTTTGATGTATTGTGGTAGTTGATAAGAGAAAACCAGCAAATCTTTTTGGTTCGGTTTGAGAACTTTAATTGACGGAAATAGCAACTGAGTATCATGAGTTGATCTCGACCAATTTTTTTCATAAGTAGAGACGCTCATTACCTGTGACTTGGGAGCAAAAGGTGATGTGACAAACGCTTGCAATTTTAGACATCCTGCTACTTTCCCTTTTTTTACGCGTGATCGTCTGCATTATGAATGAATGCGTAAGCAAGATGGCTAAAGAAGGTTTGAGACAAAACTTTCAATAGGCTCTCCATATTTGCGGAACGCCTTTCTCAAATGAACAGCAAATCTTCTTCGATTGAAAGTTTAGATTGCCGCGAGTGTTTTGCATTTTTGTAAGCAATTTTTTCTTCTTAAATACACGAATGTTACACCATTTATCAAGAATTGAACCATAACACAGAGTTAGTAAAAATTTTAAGATCACTTGTTTTTTATGAAAATTCAAACCTTAGTCCAACTTTCCTACTGAACATTAAATCTGCGGCATATGTATCAAGCTATACCGATCACATAGGCTTAATTAAAATAAAGTTTTTATTTTGATGCGACTAGCAAATCCAAAGAATCCTATGACCCA